ATATATCTCCTTTATGTAGGAAACTAAACCCAATAAATTGTGTTACCGGTTTACATACCGATCACATAGCAGTGAAAATCACTTAGATTGGTGCCATATAAAGTATATCTTCCATACCTCTGATTGTTTAGATGCGATTTTTTATATAAGTATGTAACTCCTCTATCGATGTATGCAGATGTATTCAAAAGCAGTAATCTGTCAAAGTAAAATTTGCAGATGTTCATGAAAGGTATGAAGCCTTCGGCATAGCCGAAGACAGCGCTGCTCTTACTTGTTTTTTATTTTATTTTGTGTTAATTTTCGTAACAATGGGTTATGTTTGTATCACATATGTACATATCGTCGCTCCCAACGAAGAGTAGCACATCTCAAATTACCGTGGAAGACTAGCACATTTCACTATTCGCGTCGAAGACTAGCACATTTCATTATTCGCGTCGAAAAGTAGCACATTTCAGATTCTAGCGTGGAAGACTAGCACATTTCACTAATCGCGTGGAAGACTAGCACATTTCAGATTTTTGCGTGGAAGAGTAGTACATTTCGTTATTTGCGTGGAAGACTAGCACATTTCAGATTTTTTCGTGGAAGACTAGCACATTTCAGATTTTCGCTTGGAAGAGTAGCATATTTCAGATTGTTAAGCCGCGAAAACTGCACGTCTCCGGTTTAAAGTAAATCATAAAAGCATAATATATATTGAAAATTCAAACGTTTATTCTATATTTCTTTAATTGTATTATGAAAATCATGAAATTCAGACGGTATATACCGTTTACTAATCATTTGTTGAATATAATCCACTTTTCTTTTTTTTAAAGGTATTTTTGCCTTGTAAGCTTTAGGCAATTCACAGTGTTTCATGGTTGACCATTGAACATTTTTTTTCATTAGGTTCAACTTCTCCTCGCTTTGCATAAAGTCGTATTTTACTGCCATGTCTACTTGATTTTTGCTATTTTTTATTGTAATTTTCCGTACATGTGATATCTTAATTTTTTGCCAATGAAAATATTTGGACAGTTCTTCGAAGGAAAATATTTCATTTGCGTTTGCGTTGTTGAAAATTTGTTGAGTTTTTTTAGTATTCTCCTGGGCTTTAAACTTGGGCCAATATGGATTTTTTTAAGAGAATTAACTTTATTTTAATTGAAGGTTTTTTAAGTAAATAAATAAACATAACATAAATAATATCACTTTGAAACGGGGTGCTCTTGATATGATACTGTATGTATATGTTTTTTCGTATTTATTTATAAATAAAGATTCCCTGAGAAAGACGCGAATGTCGAAAGGTGTAGGAGGAAAAATAAACGTTTATTTTACTTGTAATAACCGGCCAAAAGGCTCCATATACAACACTAAACTTTCAGCATGACCGAAGAAAAATAATTATAGTATAAACATACATATTTATGTAACTTTTTTTTTTAACGGCTGCTACAACCTTATATGAACTGCCTTGCGTATCCCTCTTCCACACAAAAATCTGAAATGTGCTAGTCTTCCAGGCAAATAACGAAATGTGCTACTCTTCCACGCAAAAATCTGAAATGTGCTAGTCTTCCACGCAAATAACGAAATGTGCTACTCTTCCACGCAAAA